GAACTCCTAATAGAGCAATAAATTACTCCCGAAGTTGCACTTAAAGAGGTAAAACAATTAAGATGAGTAAGTTAGTTAAAGAATTAGCTTTAGTGTTTCATGTTATATGTATAGCTTACAAATGTTTAATAAAGCATACATAACTAGCCTGACAGAGGGTAAAAAAAAAAAAAAAATTAAGAATAAACAAATTTATTTAAAATTATTTGATTCAAGTTAAGCAAATATTTCAAAATATATAATTTTTCTTTTGTATTTTTTATAATATAGATACAATGAAGGAATATTCATCTAACAATAATATTCAATTATATAAAGATTACTATTTTAAGAATCAAACTTTATTCATAAATAACTCTAAATCTAATATATAAAAATGTATTAAATTTTTTTTCTATGTAGTTATAAACTTTTTTTATTCAAAAATAAAAAAAAAATCAATATCTAAAACTTAAAAACTTATTGATTTTGAGTATAGTGAAATTATTAGTCAATAAAAAGAAGATCATAGTAAGTCAATATTAAAGATATTCTTAATTATTCAAAAATAACTATTTATAATATTATTGAAAGATATAAGACAAATCAATAAACTAGTATTTTTTCTAGATCTGATAAACTATCTAAATTGATAGAATGAGACATTAAATATCTTGTAAAAACTGTAAAAAAAAAATTAACAACAATCTTTGAATAAAATAACAGAAAAATTTGGTCAATTATTAAAAATCTTAATAAGCTTTTATATTATTCAATATATTTTACATAATAAAGAATTTTATAGTTAAGTTGAAAAAAGAAAACCTTTAGTATTTAAAGAAAATTGTAAAAAAAAAATTAGAATGGTGTCTTATTAGAAAAAATTAGGATTTAGAATAGAATACAGTAATTTAAACTAATTAATCTTATTTTTTATTATTTTAAAATAACTCACATAATTGGATTTGGCAATATTCACATGAAAAATATAATATAAGTTGTTTAATTTCAACAATAAAATCAAAAAATCAATGCATAATAATATAGAAATGTTTTACAAAAAATAAAATTGAATCTTTGATTCAAGTTTCTGATAAAATTATAGAATCCATATATATTGAAGTTTTAGAAAATAATTTTTTATCTTTTATTAATAAATTAGATAATAATTTAAAATATATTTTTCAAGATAATAATACTACAGTTCATTAGATAAAAATAGTTAAACAATAATTAGAAAATAATTTTGATAACAAATATTTCTTGATTTGCATAATTACTAGATTTTAATTCAATTGAATATTTATGGAATACTTTAGGAAAAAAAGTTTATAAAAATGATTCCTATCCAAAAAATCTTGCAGAATTAATAATTATTTTAGAAGAAGAATAGAATAAAATTGAATTATAAAATTTAAAAAATTTAGTAGAAAGTACACTAAGAAAAATTCAAGCTATAATAAATAGTAATAAAAATCCAATAAAATATTAATAGTATTAATAAAAAATTCAAACTTTTGTAAACACATTAGTATAAATTTTATTAAAAGTTATTTAGTAAATTTTTTAATAATAATAAAAACAAATCAACTTTAAATTTTAAAAATTGCAATAATTAATATGTGATCAGATACTTTTAATAGGTAAATATATACTTTCCAGAAAAATATTACTGAAATTTTAAAATTAGATATAATCAATGTGATGATTTAATATTATTATTTTTTTTTTTTTATAATAAATTTTTACATTAATTCTTATAATTTTTTGTTTATTATTTCTTTTGAATTTCTATTGTTTGAATATATAATAAAAAAAATTTTTTATTATAACTTTTTATAATAAAACAAAAAAGAAAAAAACTTACTGAACAATAACACAATTAAATAATCGAAACTTGAAAGTATAGTATAAAACTATTGATTATTGTAAAAAACTTAGAACTTTCTCAAAGCATTGTTTATAAGGTTATTATACTATATAAAAAGATTGATCAAACAAAACTTCTTTCTTATCTTGAAAGACCATCAAAATTAACAGAATGTAATATTTGTTATTTTGTATATTTTTTAAAGTAAAATAGAAAATCAAGATTATATGTCTTAATTAATAAATTCATTGAATCAACATTTACTAAAGTTTATATATATACTATATAATACTATCTTTATGAAGAAATATATTTTAATTGAGTTGGCAAAAAAATTTTTTTTTGTAAATAAAGAAAAATGTAAGATTAGATTAAAATAAATAAAAGAACAAATATATTGAAAAAAAGAGTGGGAAATTGTAGTATGGAGTGATGAGTCATGGTATATAGGGAAGATGATCATAGTGATATATAGAGAAAACTTAAAGAAAAGTTTGATGTTGAATACTTAGTTTCAACTTTAGATTAGATAAAATAGATGTAATGGTTTGATAATGTTTTTGTTAATATGGTTTAGGTTCTTTGGTTTGGGTTTTTGGTAATATAACTGCAAAATATTATATTGAGATTTTGCAAGATTGTTATTTATCTTATTTAGAAAATTTAAATAGTATAATTGAAAAAAAATGATATATTTCGGGATAATAATGTGAGAATTCATACAACAAAATTAACTATGCAATGGTTTAAAGAAAATGAGATTAATAAGTTCTTTTGACCTTCAACAAGTCTTAATCTTAATCCTATAGAACATCTATGGAATAAATTAGAATGTCATGTATTTAGTTATATTCCTTTACTAAAAAATAAATCAGAATTATTTGATTTATTATAAAAAGAATGATTTAATTTAAATAAATCAATTTATATAAATCTTGTCAGAAGTATGAATTGACGAGTTAATGCTGTAAAAAAGTACAAGGGGGTCCTATACAATATTAACTATTGTAAATAATTAAATAAAAAAATTTAAATTTAAAATGTTAAATAAATTATTAAAAAAATCACTAATAAAAATCTGTAAAAAAATGATCGTCGCAATATTAATAATAAATTCCTGTAATTTTTTTCTAGGGAGTGTATATGTACAATGAAGGTATGATAAAAATGTGATGTAGACGTGATGGATTTTTTCTTATATAATTCTAAAAATAACATATCATAAGTATATCTCAATTGAGTGGCCCATGCATGACAAAATTTTTTGTAATGTGAACCGATGATTAAATACACTTATCAATCAATGAAAAAAGAGATCGAATAAATTAATAGATACTTCAAAATAAAATTAATCAATGCACTTGTGCATGTCTCTGCTGATAAAGATATAATTTTTTATTTTTTATTTGGTGTTTTTACGGAAAGTCAGTTTGATAACTTGTCATATAAATGCTATTTTAAATCTAAATTTAGGTCTCACTCATGAGTTGATTTCAATTTGTTTAATTGGTTGAAAATTGTTACACAAAACAATGATCATATATAGCAATGATACATGTACACTCCCATGACATAAATCATGGTGCAATAATCAAATTTAATGATAAATTGGCAAATAAATGGAAACTTTTTTTTAGTGAATTGTAAAAACTATGATAATTTTCTTAAAAAAATTTTTTTTTAAAAAAAAAGGTCTTCTAAAATACTGTATATTATATATTTTAATACATCATAGGATTTCCTTTGAACTTTTTAACAGCCTCAATATGGCAAGACATGTTAATCACGAGATTATGATAAATGTGATTATCTATTTTTGACCATTTCTCTTGCAAAAATTCAAATAGTTCTATTTAGCTAGTTGGCAGGGGGTTATGTTTACGGATCCGACACTCTAACTCATCCCAAAGATATTTGATAGGATTGAGATTAGGGCTCTGGGTTGGCCATGAAAGACAAGAGATATTTTTATCTTCAATCCATTTTTTTACATTCTTTGCCCAATGAATTGGGCAATTATCATCTTGAAATAGATAACTATTTTGAGTATTAAGACTCTCTAAATATAGCAATAAATAACTATCAAGAACATTAATATAGTCGATTGCTTTTTGTCATCCGTCAACTCTTACCAATGGACCTAAACCACCTGCGGTAAAACATCCCCATACCATTACTTCTCTTCTGCCAGATTTGAATGTTGGAACAAGACAATTAATATCATATTTTTCTTTAAGTAATCACTATACGTAATAACGGCCATCACCTCCATACACTTTAAAATGAGATTCATTGCTTCAAATAATGTAATCCCATTCAAAAGTTCACTGTAACCATTCTTTTGCCTATTCAAAACAAATTTTTTGATTTTTATCACTTATACTGTAAATGGTTTTCTCTTACAAATTTGACCATAATAACCTTCTTCATGAAGGTATCGTTGTAGAGTATGCGTGAAAACATTATTAGATGTTGATTGCATAAATTTATTTTGCATAATATTTAATGTAACCTTTCGATCTTTTTTAATGATGTGTATTAAATGTCATGTATCGTGATCAGTTAGTTTTGGTGGTCTTCCACTTTGAGGTGATGGTTTTATTTATCCCGAATCTTCATAATATTTTATTACTCTTCTGACTGTCGATAGTGCAAATTTAAGGTTTTCTACTATTGTAGAAACACTTGAACCGCACTACCAAGCCCCGATTATCTGACTTCATTCACTTTCCAATAGTTCCTTCCGTTTTGGTTCCATTGTGAAAGAAACACAAATGAGACCAAAAAAAAAATCATCGTTTTAAAAACTATATATTTTGAAAACCCCAACAATGTAAAATTTAACCCTTATATGATTAATAATTATATAAAAAATGACCTTTCACGTTTTCTTTCGTTTGCCGATCATTTTAAAAATTGATCATCGCACCATGATTTATGTCATGGGAGTGTACGTAAACAAACATTGACTGCTGATATGGAAAACGAGATTTTCCGCACGTAAGCTAATTATATATAATTATATATTGAGTTCAATCTTTCTGAGCTTGCAGATTGTTAAGCGTGATGGTAGTCTAGTCAAAAAGTTACTACTATAACCCATCATGTAAGGCTTCGGTCGCACAGTTTTGCAAGGGGTTGGTTAAGCACGATGGCAGTCTAGTCAATAAGTTACTACCATAACCCATTGTGTAAGGCTTCGGTCGCATCAACCTTACTCAGATTGCAACTTACATTGTTTTTTCATCTCTTATTAAACATTTGACACTTTGTTCTTTCATTAATGATATACCTCATGCATACAAGCTGACCGAAAAAGATGAATCTAATGTCCGATGGTTGTTGAATTCATTTAACCCCGAACCACTGGAGTTTTATCGATATATGAATCGTAAAACAAAACATATTGTTACGAGTGCATATCATTGTGCACTTTCGGTAATTTTATCAGCAAAAAATGTTAATGAAGAAAAGATAAAGGTATTCAAGAACATTCAACAAAAATGGAAGGTAAATTCATGTGTACACACTTTATCTACTTTGATATAAATTTTAATAAAATTTATTTTGTGCAGGATGGCGATTTCAAAAATGATTGGAATAAGTACATTGCAGAAAGATCAGCGTCAGAATCTGTTAAAGCGAGTCACAGCGTTCAAAGAAGCTACAATTGTGAAGTTGCTTCATACTCATTAGTAAGCATTTTCCTAAATATCTGTGCTATCCTTGAGTTTGATTATTAATATTTTGGCATTATTGTGTTTAGAAACGACAGCACAGTGGTCCATCAACACCCAATAAGCCAGCTACTAAACCAAAACTAAAACAATTGTACCCTCAGGTTTCATTTACAAAAAGAGTAAAGATTGCTCGTGAAGAACTTCAAAATAAAAAATCTGAAAGTGAAGACTTGGTTAAAAGACAAGATAACCATAATAATCAGAATCTAGAAGAATCCGAAAGCAAAGCCCAGTTGAGTTGAAAAATATAGAGAATTACGGTAACCATAATGTAGATTGGCGTGAATGGTTGGAAAGCGTCCTGGAAGTTAGTAAACGTCTATCTTTGAAATAACTGCTAAATGTTTTGCTTATCTTCTGAACTTTTTTTCCCATTGTCTTTGCAGTTTTCAATAGAGGGAATCAGAATACAAATTTTAAGCCCATATGTTGCTAAAAACGAATTTGAAAATATTATGATTAAATATATCGGAAAAGTGCTGATGGACTTGTAAGTTAATTTTATTAGTAGTGTTTACAATTTTTATGAATAATAATCATGTCGATATTAATCAATTATTAGTGTTCACAAAGTAATTGATGTTCCAGGTCACGTTATGTATATGGATATTGTCGAGAGGGATTGGATAGTCAACAAAATATCTCCATTGTTTACTTATCTCCAAGCAACATTTATTAATAAGATACGATTTCACTGGTAATTAATATTTTTTAAGACTTTTTTATAACTTATAAATAGAATTACTTATTTAATCGAATCTATAGGATCGAACATGATATTGAACCTACGCACGAACGTCTTGTTGCCGAAGGCAATACTTCAAATAAAGACAGGTTAAAAGCCGATAAGTTGGTGTCCGGCTGTCAGATAGCCGTCAAATTATATTTTTAGAAATGAGTGGTGCACCTATTGATTTTTTAAAAAATCATCCAATTGATGATGCACATAAGACACTCCAAGAAAGAATTGACTCTTTAAATTGTATTCTCTTAAATTTTCTTAACTATGATGTTCGGTTTGCAGGGAATATTCGTTCATTAACTATTCAAGGAATCAGTATTTATTATTTTTTATTGTTATTTAAATTAAAAGCAAATCATCATTCATATATTTTTGCTATTATATGGTAGGAGATCGTCTTACATTAAGATCATTATCCTTAAGAGGAAAAGATGATTACGTTGATGAAGAATTATTATCAGCGGTTTTTCCACTTAGCTGGGATTTCCGATTTCAATTTAATGAAATATTTGAAATGATGGAGTATATAATATTATCTGTCATGGAATATCCCGATGCCATAAAAGAGTTGATAAAGCATCCGGCAGATTCACATGAATCTTCTATTCGATACTGTATCACTGATAAATAAATAATCTAGTTTTGAACAATGATTATATAATAACAACTTTGGAATATTAGAAATTTTATTATAGCACTACACATGAAATTTGGTTATTTTCTCTAATAATCATTATTTTTAAATTTTGATCATGGCTCAGGGTGTATGAAGCATATATTAATGTGAATGATTATCCGTTCAATGAGTTATGAAGTTTCAAGTTTGCTCAATAAGACCTAATTCTCGAAGATGTTCTGGAATAACTATATGTGGGTCTTCGTAATACCAAACATACCCTTAAACGATCCAATTTTCTTCACAATTCTTTCTTGAATCGATCTCGTGCCAGCTGTTTGATAAAATTATTGGATTCTCCTTTATGATATATTTTTTGTGTTGTTACCCTTGCATTGCCATATAATCACTAATTGGCATAAATTATTTAGTCATAATAGCTAAGATGTAAGCAAAAAAAATTAGTGGTCAAAAAATAATGAGAATTTTGTTCATGTGATTTTATTTGTCGCACTTCGAAAATTTTATAGTATAATATAAAATTTTTTTTATTATTTATAAAATAAGTATATACTGTATATCAATAATTGTACAACGCATAAGCTACGTATTATACATATTCATCACATAAATTTGCCGTATGTCATCTCAATCAACACTTACAAACCAACGAATGATCATAAGGCTACTTTGGAAGAATAAAATTCATGAACCAAAAAAAATAGCAGCAATAACTCATATACCACTTTCTACTGTCTATCACTATGTAACCAAACTTAAAAAAACAGGAAACTTGTCCCCTTGTGCTTGCTCTGGTCAACCAAAAATTATTTCTGTTAAGCAACATTGTCATCTGGATCAGATTGTAAAACATCAAGTTAGTTTTACCTCTGTTGAACTTGCAACTCATCTTAACAAAACATATCTTGGATTGAATATATCAGTACGGACAATACGTCATGAACTTGTAACTCTTCATTATAAGATAGATCATTCTTGACATATATCATTATTAATATCTATGCATATTAAAACTCATTAAAATTGGGTACTTTGTCATCTTAATAACCATTGGAATCAAACAATTTTTTCTAATGAAACAACCTTCCAGATATTTAGAAATACCCAATTAATTAGGTATAAGTTAGTATAGAGTCACGATCATAAAAGACAATGGTAAAGTATTCATATAAGATTTATATATAGGTGACATTTTCTGCACAAGGTTTTCAATCAGATTTCATATGTTTACAGGGTCTTTTATAACTATTAAGTATTGCGAAATTTTTACATAATACATGCTTACAAAGCTAAGGCATAATAGCACTTTCAATAAGACAATGTACCTATACATATGATCAAAATCACCAAAAAGCTCTTGAATTCTCATTATGTTCATATTTTTAATTGGCCTATAAATAGCCCTAATCTGAATCCTATTGAGAATTTGTAAACAATTTTAAAGAAAAGTGTTGAAAAACAAGTGAATATTAATGTTGCAGAAAATCGTTATATATTTATAAGTAAGTTTTATCAAATTATTGAAAAAGAATAAGAAAAAATTGATCAAAATTTATATCTTAAATTAGTAAATTCAATGTTTAAGCATTTAAATGACATAATCAAGTTAAAGGGTGAAAAAACAAAGTATTAAAAAATTTTTACCTTAAAATTGATATATTAAGATATTTAAATATATAAAATTTAAATTTTTTTAAATAAAATTTAAGACATAATAGTTAATTTAAAATTCTTATTATTTTTTATCACTATTGTACATTGTAAAAGATTTATAAACTTTTTTTTATATCAATATCCATTAAAGCTTATATTATGTTTTTGATTAATTATGATTGTTATGCTATTTCAAAATCTAATTCGATTCTTTCCAAAATTATGATATCCTTCATTTTTATTTATTTATTTTTTTTTTTAACTTATTAACTGCAACTGGTATTAGATACAAGCCTTTTATTAAGAATTAATTTAAACTTGAACATTTGATCCTTTGATATGACACCAATCATCTCATACAAGCTACAATATATATTTCTATATATATGCAGATTAATGATAACCTATTATAGCTTGTCCTAGATAAGTCTGCACATCACTCTGAAAATGAGATAGACTTAACTAGAAGCTGGTGGTTGATAACAATCTAATGGTGATTTTTGGTATAGTTGGTAAATCTTATAATTGGTCTATATATACTAATACTAACTTATACACTAGATTAAATCTATAAGTGTTAATTAACCACTCGGATACCTCGATATTTTTTACTTGAATCTTAGAGGGGGTTATGATCCTCTTTGTCACCACCTGCGGTATCACAAACAATCCTATTTGATAAGTTCTTCAATTAAGCAAATATCAAATTGAGATATTTCAAGCTAAAATGGTTAAGTCCCAGAGTCTGCCAATATAGTTTTGGGTAGAGATTATCAGACGATTACCGCAGTCCTAAAAGTGGGATCCTGGGATTTCTTTTTTCTATCCAGTTCAGGGGAATGTACAAGCGTAAATTGTGTAACTAGACCAGAGGTCTTTCTTTATGCAATCCTCACGATAGATCTATTTCAGCCGGATGATTAATAGGAAGGCCAGAAGTCCTATACTTATGCAACCTGATTATTTTTTCTCACATGGTTCTTAAGTAATATTGAACTCCGAATCTTGTGATTGTGATTTGGGAGCACTACCATTATGCTATAGATCCACAGGTCCAATTTTATTTATTTCTATGCTTATCGATGAGAATACATATATATTCAAAAGAATAATACTATAACTTTTGTTTTTGAAAAGATCTATTGTAGTCTTCTTTATAGTTGTTAGAGTTCAAATCCAATCTATTGCATTTTTAAAACTGATAAGAAGTATTATGACATATGCATTAGCAGTATTTTAAAAGAGAATCCATGGTTTTTTTTTCTTTCTCTAGTTTTATTTAGTAGGTAAATAGATTCTATCGTACTTTCACCTGATAGATCAGCAAAGTTTGAATTTTTAAGAATTTTGTATTATTTGTATATTATTGATAGACAATTGATAAGAATCTTGATAAACCATTTTCATACTGTTTCTAGAAGAACAATAAGTCTTGTATTACTTAGTTGATATCTTCAGAGTTTGAGTTTAGGAATAGAATAGAGGTTGCTACTTTTCCATTTTTAGGTATCTATTTAATATTTAAAATTTTGTTGAATAGCAAGTATAAGGTCCGTTTTTCTTTGATATCTAGATATTTGAGTATTTTGTAATTGATATATGAGAGATTAGCTGCTATATTATTTGAAAGGTATTGTAAAGTAGCTTAAAACTCTTTTACTTTAATTTTTTCTATTAATGATAAATATTATATTGAATTAATTCATTCTTTGAATTGATATTTTTTTTTCAAGGGGAATTTAAGCTTTCAAATTTGATAATTCTTTGTTTGAAAGTTTCTTTATAATAGTTTTCAACCTTTCTTTTAATGATTTGAGGATTAGTAACTATATATTATATTTTTTTTTACAATTTTTTGTTAATACTTAATCTAATATAATTTTGGATCTTTTGTAATTCAAAATTGAATCCACCATTTATTTTTTATTAAATTTGAGATCTTCATACCTGTTTTCTAAGGCTTCTTTAATTTGATTTCTAATGTGAAAACTTTTTTTCTTCTTGTATATTATTTTAAGAGTATATTTTATTTTAATAATTTTTGATAATAGCTCTGGATTTTCTTTTTGTAACCAAGAAAAAACTACTTCTTTGTCAATAAATTTGTCAAGACTTTTTAATTTTTTGATAATCTTTTCTATGTTTATTAAGATTCTTATCTTCCAGTTAATTTGTATTTTCTTAAGAAGAAAATAAATCTTATTAACTTC